GATAACTCTAATTACTGTATAGACAAGATTTATAACACTTGCTTGAAAGACTAGATACGTGAGATACATACATTTTCCAGTGGGAACTTCAGAATAAGTTTGGAAGGGGCCTCTTTCTAGCTGCTGGAGTGGACTATCTCTTGCTCCAATTTTAGAGAGAAAATCATTATAGACAATGTATTTTGGACCAAGAACATTTAGAATACTAGATAAGAAGAGAATTTCTCTGTAAATGCTAGAGGAGAGTGGAACTGTTCTTCATTTTGTTTCTGCTGGAAGTATTTATTTGCCCACCCAAAAAGATTCCAAAAGTATAGCTTACTGAGATTATTTTTAAAAGGTAAATATTTAGAAGAACACAACGTACTCAACATATTTTTAGAAAATGTTGATATTAGCAGCAGCAGCTAGTTGTTTATTTTATGCAATTTTGAAACAAAGACTAATCAAGATAAATTCTACAAACTCTAACTTGATACTGATTCAGAATGTGAGAGTTGATGCTTTCTCTTTAAAAAGTATATATATTATGTATGTTATATACATTTTCTAGACATAGTTATGCTGTCTCTTTAAAAGTATATTTATATAAAATACATAGAAAACGTGTATTTCATATATGTATATGTGTGTACATTTTTGCATATATGAAACACATGTCCTATGTTGATAGGAGAATATATAGCTCCCACTAACAAAGGACATTTTTTGCACAACATTGAAATGTACCTAAAAAAGTCTGGAATTATCAACCACAGTATGACCCTATATAATATGAATTATATGTGTAATGGACAATTTATAATTCTTCCATCCCCAATGCAGTGCAATATATCATATAATTTGTATCTTTCTTTTTTTCTCATCAGAGATGTTGTTTGGGACGAAAATAAAAACAGCCCCTGATATATGGGAACTGGTCTGACACTTACAGCTGGGTCTCAGCATTATCAGGAGTAGGCCTGGCTATCATAGCCAGGGCTTGATGTTCTCCTCTTGGACCAAGACATTCTCAGGGAATATCAGCATGAGACGACGTAACTCTGTGACTGTGAAGAAGTGATACAAGAAAATAGATGATTCATGATTTTGTCTAAGCACAAGAAAAAAACAAGATCACTGTAGAAACCACAGAAATACCAAACATCTTGCTCTCCTGGCTAATTTAAGTGATTGCTTCTGCTTTATCAATTACAGTTTTATTTTCCTTCTAGTCTTTCCTCCTTCTGGAAAAGATTTATTAAGGTGCTCAATAATAGAATTATCTCCATTTCCTGAGAGCATCCAACCCAAAGTGAGCAAACCCCCATTTCCTTGAACTCTCTCCAAATCACCCAAACAAAGCACAAATTCTCTAAATCCTAATACCCTCTTACTCAGACACTCCACAATACCCCATGACGTTTAGTCTCTCTTGCGGCAATGAACAAGGAACCCAGTTTGTTCAAGTGCAGGTGAATTCCTGGTGGTCTTTGGCTGGGAGTCATTAACATATGCTAAAACTTTACCAGAATATTATGTATTGTATGATTTGATTTATAGTACATAGAGATGTGTAAAGGTTTATGAATATACAATTATGTATGTTATTATATATAATATATACCTATTTGTATTGTAAGTCCACACTTTTTGTCCTTTTTGGGCTAGGATAATAAAAAAATGGCTAACAGTGCCTACCCTGAGGGAGTAAAGACATATTGGCATATTTGAAGAAGAGACTTCACTTTTGAATCTACTTTTTGAAATTTATTGTTATTTTTTGAGACAGGGTCTCACTCTGTTACCGAGGCTAAAGTGCAGTGGCGCAACCATAGCTCACTGCAGACTCAACCTCCCAGGCTCAAGTGATCCTCCCACCTCAGCCTCTCGAGGAGCTGGGACTACAGGCATGTGCCACCACGCCCTGCTAACTTTTTTAAGTTAATTTTTTAAGATATAGATGGTCTCACTCTGTTGCCCTGGTTGGTCTCAAATTCCTGGGCTCAAGCAATCCTCCTACCTCATCCTCCCAAAGTGCTGGGATTACAGGTGTGAGCTACCACACCTGGCCTCAATTTCTTTCTTTCTTTCTTTCTTTCTTTTCTTTTTAGACAGAGTCTCACTCTGTTGCCCAGGCTGGATGGAGTGCAGTGGCAAGATCTCGGCTCACTGCAGCCTCCGCCTCCCCTGTTCAAGTGATTCTCCTGCCTCAGCTTCTCAAGTAGCTGGGACAACAGGTGCCCACCACCATGCCCCGGCTAATTTTTTATTTTTAGTAGATACGGGGTTTCACTATGTTGGTCAGACTGGTCTCAAACTCCTGACCTCAAATGATCCGCCTGCCTCAGCCTCCCGAAGTGCTAGGATTACAGGCGTGAGCCACTGCTCCCAGACTGAAATCAGTTTTTTTTTTGACTCAATTATTCCTTTACGTTCCCAGAATAAAGGAAATAATTTGTAAAATTAAGGGAAATAATTGAGTATATCTTACTCTATTATTTTCCTTACATTTCCAGAGCTTGTAACAGGAATTGTTTGGCTGCAGGTATTAGAGATGTGCCTATCTACTTTGGTAAAGGAAAGGAAGGGCTTATCTTCTTAATGTGCAGGAAGTCCACAGGTAAAGAATTGTGATAGGCAGAATTCAAAGATGGCCTCCAACAACCTCACTTCCTGTTTATACATATGTCATTTGAGTGTGGACAGGACCTGTGAATATGATAGGATGTCACTCTCATGATTAGGTTACCTTGTATGGCAAAAGTGAAAGGATTTTGCAGACGTAATTAAGGTCCCAAATCAGTTGATTTGGAGTAAATAAAAAGGGAGATTATCCTGGGTTAATAAACTTCATCAGGTGAAATCCCTTAAAAGAGGAGCAAAATTCCTGAAGAAAGAAAGATTCTACTGTTGGCCCTAAAGATGCTAATAGCCATGTTATAAACTATGGAGATCAACGTCCTAAACTAGTTGCTGACAAGTAGTCTCTGACCAACAGTCAACAAGAAAACAAAATGGTGACCTTGGTCATACAACTGCAAAAAAAAAAAAAAAAAAAAAAAGAATTCTTTCAACAATCTGAGTAATTTCGGAAGCTGATTCTTTGCCTAGTCAAGCCTCCAGATGAGAATGATGCCTGGTTAACACCTTGATGATAGTTTTGTTAGACCGCCATACTCAGACTTCTGACCCAAAGAAACTGAGATAATAAATGGATATTGTTTTAAGCTGCTAAAGTTGAAGTAACTTGTTATACAGCAATATATAATTCCACAGTCCAGAGACAATATGATGGTTCTTGAAAATCAGTGATCCAGGCAACACCCATTGCATTTGAATTCCATCCTCAGTGTCACCCCAAAGTGAAAAGAAAGTGATGGAATTCCAGCCACAATACTCGGGTTCTAGTCAAGAAGAAGAGAAAGAAAAAAACGTCAGAGAAGTTTGTGTCAGTTGTCTGTCCCTCTTGTAAATAGTTTTCCCCGAAGACTCACATGACAACCTGTATTTATAAGCCCCACTCCTAGCTATAAGAGAGGCTAGAAAACAGAGCATTTTAGCTGGGAATATAGCCAATAGGTAAACAAACACAAATATCAGGATTATATTAGAAAGGAAGAATGAAGTCAAGGGAACAAGGACATTTTTTATACAAATAGCAATCTCTTCCTCAGAGAGGAAAAAAATAGGAAAAATTTTCCTCACATCAATCTTTTAATGCCATTTTTTTTGTTTTAAAAGTTTCTGATAAGAGAAAATTTGCAAAGCATAATGCTTCTAGCAAACACAGAAATATATTACAAAACATGTCAGCTGCGTGCTTCTGATCAGAGTATAAAGAAAGGATTCTAGTCAATACTAATGCTCTTAATCTAGCTCTATCTCTTCTGCCCCTAAATGCTTCATACCCATCCCTCTCCTTAATGAAGTTATTTGCTCCCTCACTGGGTACATGTCCTGCCCTGTGGAAGGACTCACAAATATGATCCACAAAGCAACTGACTGATCTTTTTCCTGATCAGTGATGTTTAAACCCCAAATCCAAAACACGGAAATAAATCTTGTATTTAAACACATCACAATTAAGTCATTTCCCTTCTCCCTTCCCTCTGCCTCACAGAAAAGTCTGTGGTTGACTGATTTACTATAGAGCCAATATGACTACTTGAAAATCAGATACTGAAGTCAGCTCATAGCAAATTAAGTTTATGAGAAAAAAGGAGTGGGATATGGACATACTGGAGCCTCATTCACAAGGGTCAGAAAGAGAAGGTGGCGAAACTGTCTGGAAAGCCTTGGGGCGCAGCCAAGTGTCAGAGGGAGTGCCCAATGGGTATGAAGAGCTCAGATATGGATCAGGCTGACTCCAGGGTCTCATGGGCCAAGAGAACAGGGTACCCAGGAAACGGTGTGTTTGTTCAGGTGAGCATTTGGGTGAACCAGTAGTTGATGTCTGAGGAATTTCAGTCAAAGGCAGCAGGAGCCCAACTATCTGGCTGGGGGACCATTTGATAATTCACCAAAAATTTGTCGAGACAATAGTTTACAGTAACGGTTCAGATATAGACTCTCCCCTCAAAATCTTTTTTTTTTTTTTTTTTTTTTGAGTCTTGGAAGATGGTAGTAAACCCTATATGTAAACAAATTATAAAGTGATGTGTTGAAAAAAATAATACTCACAGAGTGCTAGGAATTACAGAATTAATTTGACCTTTGGAAAAGCAAAATATAGAGATGTTTTCTAGAAAGCCTATGTTGGGATCCTAAATAGTAGTATTACAAGATACGAAAGTGCTTAAAATTGTAGTATTAGGCAATAGAAAATTCAGATTGGTGTTCCCGAGTAACCACCGACCAAACACCAATTAGGCTGAGCTAAACTCCTTTTTTTCTCCCTTCAAGTACCTTATTTCATAAATGCAATGCTGCGTATTTGCCCTTTCCCCAAAACTTTATTGTAAAAATTGTGTAACAATACTAATAACAATAACAAAGAATAGGACAACACAATGCAGTTTCTTTTCTATTTTAATAGCTTTATTGAGGTATAAATGATATACAACGAACTGCTCATATTTAAAATATAATTTGGTAAGTTTTACCATAGCATACCCCCATTAAGCTATCACCACAATCAAAATAAGGAATATAAATAAGGAATATGTCTATCACTTCCAAAAATTTCCTCCAGCCCCTTTTTAATCTCTGCCCTTTACCTACTCCATCCCACAGCCACCACTGATCTGATTTCTTTCACTATCAGTTTGTCAAACATTAGTTTGTATATCCTAGAGTTTTACATACGTGGAATTATAGTGTCCATTTTTGTTCTGGATTCTTTTACTCAGCATATTGAGACTCACCCATGTTAAAGTATGCGTCAATTGTTCTTTCCTTTTAATTGCTGAATAGTATTCCATTGTGTATCACTTACTTTTAGGCCTATCATCTTTGTTTCCTTTTCAACTCCTTCTTTCCTTCTTTTTTCTTATTATTGACATGCTTATTATAGAAATCTTCATAATGGTACAAATGGGTAACGAAGCAGGAAAAATCAATTATAGAAAGCTTTGGCATTAGAATTAAAAACCAACCAACAAAACTAAACTAAACTGAAAACTAAAGAGTCTTTATTATTGTCAAAGTAGTAAATCTTTCTTAGAGTTATTTGAGATGCTTTGACAGACACAGAGGGGCTACTATTTCAGTCTGGGTGGCCTTGCCTAGAGCCCTCTAAACTGCACAATTTAGTGGCGCCTATTCAGTCTTACAAAGACTGTCATGTAACATGTTTTGCTTATACAAATGATCTCAATGAGGGGAGATTATGAAATGAGGTAAAATGTTAAATCTAGAAAGGTAAGAGGAATACATTAAAAGTAAGGTCCTGGAAAGCCACAGGCTAATAGCTACCAATAATATTTTAGAAATGGTATTACCCCAAAGTGAATGTCATGAGAACTGAGGGAGAATGCAATTTTGATCACATGTGTTATCAGGAGTATTTCACTGTTGAAACACAAATTATTATTTTTTAACAGTAAAAAATCCTTAGGTGTTCTCCATCTGCCGTGGCAAACACTTAGCAGCTGCTGCTTTTAGCCTAGCAAAGATCAACCTGACCTTGGCCAACCAGCTTGTACTTTGAAGAGTGTATTTTGTGAAACCTGTGAGTAGAGAAGGATTCATGCTTGGTAGAATTTGTTGTCTCTTTTGCTCAGTATCTTACCATGATTAATCCCCAATCCATCTTTCTCTGCTGCTGCTGTTGCTGCTGTCAGACTCATATTTCTTTTCCATAACAGACGCTGTTCAAACGTTGCTGGATTCTGGCTGGGTGTGACCTTTTATGGGGCACTGCTGCCTCCTATCAGGCTTTTATGGGCATGTTGGTTTATGCACATGTGCATTCTGACCTTGTGACCTCCAGAATAGATTCTAAGAGAACAACTGTATCTGATTTTTCTGACATTTCGGGCACCCAAACTCTTCCCAAGTGCATAGGTGCAATGAATACTCCCTTGTGGTTTGGGTTTACATTCTTCTCACATCAGAAGAACTCATCTAGGAGAATGTGAAGCCAGGTCAGAACTGCTAACATAACAACAGTGTTGCTGGCAGCCATTCAAGTTGTTTTGCATAAATTTGAGCATGAGGCAGTGTTTTCACAACATCTTTCCCTTTTTATTGTGGTTTAAGTAAGCAGTGCAAATATTTGAATTACATTTTCTGATATAACCAAGTCTGCAGAAAGGACAATGGCTAACAAAACTCTGGAAAACTTTGAAACCATTTTTTAAAATTCCTTCTCAGACCTGGTCTTTTTTCCTTTCTGAATCCTATATCTTATTGTTAGATAAACCTAGTTATATTAAAAAGAGAAATCCGTATTATGATATTTCTAGTACTTTTAGTTTGTATTTTCTGTACTGACAGTATACCGATAGTGAGTTTACAAAGGTGAACAGTCTAGTATGACTAAAGATGCGACAAAAGTTTTTCAAATTATTGCCAAATACGCTGCTTTTCTACCATTAAAAAAAAAAACCCTCAACTCAGATTTTAAAGTTTTAAATGCCAAGTTAAAATAATTATGAATCTACTGTTCCTTAGTTCCATCCACTACCTGTTTTGGATCTGGGTTTTGCCCTTAAATACCTATTCTATCAGAATGAACTGGGTCACCATGCCCCATCTCTTTATGTTCCTCTTGACATTTACTCCATGTTTTCTTTTTCTAAATAAGCTTTTCCTTTCTGTTTTCAAAATTGAATACTTTTCTCATCCTAGCCAAGCACCTATTTTCACTCTTTCTTCTGATGGTTGATAAAGTCACCCACACTCAATTCTTTCTCCAATACTATATTCAAAAGTGTAATTGTTTCCATCCACTTACATTTTCCTCTGCTTTGAGAGCTCTACTAATGTTTCTTCCTCACTGATGGCCTAACCCAAAAGAAAATGCTTGCCCTCACATGGCATATCCAAAGTTACATCAGATCTGCTATGGTTCAGGTATAGGACAACAAAGAGACATATCACATGACATTAGGGACAACTACACTAACACTTCAGAATTGGAAGAAACACATCGTCAAGACCTAAAAATATGACTTATACTTTTTCATACATTACATGACAATCCAAAGTCAGTGAAACTACACAGAGTGGTTCTCACTGTCACCAATAGTTTGTGCAGCTTATAACATGGAGAGTATAGAGTAAATCCAAAGACTGGGCCAAGAAGATAAAAATAGCACATTGTACTACGTTCTGAAGTGAGACATAAAATAATTTAGGTCCTGATATTTAAGTGAAAGTCAGAAGGATTCTATTTATGGGTAACGACATAGTTTCTGATTTAGCATTACTGTTCAAGATGCATGGATCTTCCTGGGCTAGTACATGTATCTGGTAAGAGGAGGGAGATTCTTAAAATAAAGCATAGCATCAATTTAGCAACATTCAAGTGATAGCACACATCATATGATAGTTCAATGTGTTTATAACTAGAGTTCAGTCATTTTAGAGTCAGAGTTCAGTCACTCTCCATTAATAGAGTGATAGCTACATATCTGTTACACATATATGAATCCTATTATTACTATATTTTGGTAATAGGTCCTTAAATAGACATTACAGAAAGTAAAGAAATTTGTTATACTTGCTTTTACATTTTTTATAAATTAGAAGGTGATGAAATTATCTACTCATATTAATTTCAATATATTAATATTTGCATTTAAAGATCAGCACAACATTGTTAAGCTACAAAAGTTAAATCGTAGTTATTCGTTACACATTGCCTAGGACTTATTCAGGTTTTATTTCCTGCTGAAATTGTGTGACTCAAGATTTCAGAAAAATAAGTGGTAAAACACACACTGAAATGCACAACTTTAAAATGTGCATTTTGTTCACACAGAGTTACAAAAACAAGAGTATTTTATGTTATCATTAACTCAAAGCAACCTAATTATGGACCACGTTGCTTGATAGGATTTTAGTTCATGAAGCTTCAGATTTTGTTCTCTTGATAAAAGCACCCTTGAATATCATTTTTAAGCCTGACAATTATTTTCCTGTAAAGAAGATGTTATATATATCAAAAATAGAACTTCAAGTTTTCTATAGAATTACCTTGTAACGTTAAACGATGGTATCATTAGCATATAATTATAACATATATAATTGTACATAAATGATATGTTATATAGTTTCGACATCTCCCCTGTATATGAGTGTCAGGTATAGACTATTAACAAAGCCAGGTAAAATTAAAGTAGACCTATTATCATTATTACCTTTTAAACTTACGATTTTTCATTTTTGGATCGAATTTTGTACAATGGAAGCATACCAGAAATAAGTCAACAATAGATGGTTAAGAAGAGGCAAAAAGATAATTGTTCCATCTTGCCTGGTGAACTCTTAAATCAACAAAGGAGGCCGCCCCTCTGGCTAATCACCCAGTGTGGGTTCTGCGCCTGACAGGAAAGCACAGAAGTGCATCTCTGTGGCGGGGAGATTTCTCTTGTTTCCTAATTCAAACATTTGCAACACAAAGTGAATACACCTGAAAAATGCCAACTAAGAAGTTGGGTATCTGTATTTTGGAGTGATATTTAGAATTAAGTTAGTCATGAAAATATTCTGTACCAATAACTGTGTAGTTATCGTTTCCGTACGCTGCCAACAAGGCAGACAGTTGCAGAGGAAACGTCCTTACAATTTTCTGGAATGTAGACACGAAGCGCAAATTGAACCTCTGGCAGATGGCAGAAAAGGTGACTTGACAATGAGTTTGAAACAATTAAAGTGATATTCTCATGCATTCATTTCCACAATTTTATTCATTTCGAGGAAAGCCCAGATGATTGGAACATGGACATAAAGGAGGACAACCTAAGACTGCGAGTTTCATCTTCCGAAAGGTTGCATTTATAAGCAGGCTGCCGGAGGCTGCGCGTTCTTTCTCATTCTTTGCATCCAGGAGGCTGGAGGGTCTTGCAGTCTACCCCAGCTCCCCCACACTCCAACCCCATAAGAAAGGGACACCGCCGCCCCTTGTTTAGTAATCCTTGGGTTTTCTGATCACTATCCTCTAGGCCAGCGATCGGATTCACCTCTTCTTTCGCGTCCCTACGGGCAACCAAGGCCATCAGGGGCCCTGGTCCCGAACGTGAGTAGCGAGATATTCACAATAAGGAACTAAGTGTGGACTCTCAGGGGTTGCGCTCGCCATCCAGGGACTGAAAGAGACCTGCGGGATGATTTTCTCCTTTCCTCTTGTCAGGACAAGGGGCGTGGATTCGGTTCAATTTTTCTGCTTCGGTCAATGGGAAGATGAAATAGAAAAATTCCCTTTCACTCGCAACACTGACTTAGGGGGCTATCTAGCTAGAAGGCTGGCAAATTGCAAAACGGCGGGGGCCAAAGGGACGATTGGGGTCTCTGTTTACTGCTTCTCTCATCCCTGGACTCAGGTTAGGTTAAATTTCCAGCGACGTGTGTGCTTGAAAGCAGACAGGTGGGGTTCTTGGAAACAACAAATAGCAGTTTCTGAGCCCCAGAAGGACCTTAAGACAGGAGTTCCTGAGCCCTGAATAAGAGGCTACCTCGGGTAAAGCGATTGATCTCTGTGCGGTGAGGCTGGGAAGGGAAGGCATTGTTAACCTTTTGGGGAGCAAGTGAATAACTCAGTCGAGTTGATGAACTGACGTTCTTTCTGAAAGGGGTCGTCTCCTGGGCCCCTTTTCTTTTCTCAGTCGGCCTTTAGCAGGTAGGGAGGCAGGGCAAATTCTTCTCTCAATGTGAAGTCACAAAGAAGTGATGAATTTTAACAGCATGGATCTTAAGTCGTAGATAATTTTAAACACACCCGCGCCAGAGTTCACACCCTTGTTCCTCTCCACGGAGTCGGAGCAGACAGCGACCTTCAAAATTGTCCCTAAAATCTCTCTCGAACTGACTGGGCACTTACTGGGATTTGAGGGGTTTTTCTTCAGCTTCCAAACTACCATTACGCGCAGAATATACTGGTAGTTGCCAGCAATGATTGCCCCCCACCTCTTTTTAAAAGTAGCCCCCGTCCATGCACCATTCAGCTTACACTAAACTGTCCTGACATGCCTTAGCCGTCAGTTTAATTCACAAAGTAGCTGTAACTCTTGACATCACCTCCGCAGCCCACCCGAGGACTCCTTTCCAGGACACCTTATGAGGCTGTTTTTCGAGCGCTGAATTCTGCGACTTAAAGGAAGGTTACTTGAGGCATCCTGGTAGATTTCCGGGCTTCCAACTCCCTCCCCTGCTTGGCTGGTAATTTTCTGCTGCTCCACCTCCTCCCCCACTTGACCTCCTCCAAGGTACCTTCGCCTCCCCTCCCCCGCTCGTTCCCAGTAAATCTCCAGCGGGTGGGGGAAATCAACCCTTTGGCGCTAAACTCAGAGCTGCCCGTTGGACACGATTGCAGTGGGGGAAATGGTGTCCGTCCTTTCAGAAAGAATGATCAACTAGATGGAGGTAACTTGCTCCACATTTCCTGAGATCTCAGGCGGACCTATGAGTGTTTTGCTAGATTCAGTGCAAATGTAGATTTCAGCTGAACCGCTCAGGACTTGAGAGATAACTATTTCACTCTCCGGACTGCAACCACTTCCGCGAGAATCTGATACATTTAATGAAGGCTTTGCCAGATGTACGGGTCAGCGCGTCCTTGGCCCCGCACAACTTAGGTCAGCACACTGCACTCACTAGCACCAACCTGGGCTCCACGCAGCAGAACTCGGTTAAAAATTGTCTTTCGTGGTCACTTAGGAGTTCTAGGGGGCAGGGGGAAACAAGAAAAAGGTTTCACTTGACACTGCCGGCCCCTTTTGATAAGTCATAGCAAATACTTTCAGAAGCACAATTTTAAAGGGAGAATCCAAATTTCCGTCCTCGCTCGGCCGAACTCCCTGCAATCAGCTGCAGACCATCGCAGGCTCAGGACTGAACTGAGGTTTGTGGCTTCGCAGCTGCCCCGATGCGATGCCGGGAGCATGAAATTCTATCTCGGCTGAGAACCGAGCAACAGACCGCACAACAACAGTGCCTTCTGGCCTGTCATCTGCCAAGAAATACCAGGAACGCTAGTGTCAGAAACAACTACCTGAACCCAGAAAGTAAGGCTAGGAAGCTCTGTGTGCAAAGAAAATTCTTGCTAATTCACCCAGACTGTTTTAACTGGTTAATAAAGCAACTGACACTCAACAAAACCACAATCGCAGCAGGAGTCCTAGGCATCAAAATAAGAATCACAACTAAAGGTTTGTTGTTGTTGTTAACAACTGCCTTTATTTTCATTGCTTAGTATTTTTTTAAGTAAAAGGAAAGAAAAAGAGATAATCATTTCATACCCAGTGGTATCTCTTCCTTTTCTCCAAAATTAGAGCACAGATTCTCTTGATTTTTCCTCAATAAGCCACCACCACCAACGGGAAGAGAGGCAAATTGGTTCTCAACACCCACACCCCGTTCCCGGTGGAATATAGTTAATCCTAACTCCATTAAAACGCACATAATTTTATCTGACCCTTGGACATGATTAAAGATACTGAGGGCTTATATAGCCTTATTCTACATGACTAAAGACTACACTTAAAAGATAAAAACGGGAAAAGGGATACATATGCATCTACTCAATATCCATTTTTAGAGGTAAATAAAATGTTCCTGTTTCACTTTGGCCCCCAAACTATATACGATTGTGGACATCAGAAAATATAAACCCTTCAGGTATATATATATTTTCATCTGAATACCTTACTCAGTGAAACTAGCAGTGTAACTGTTATTCTACTCTTTCAAACCTGATTCTGATGTGAGCTAAACATATAGCATCATCTCCCTGGGAACAAATTCCCAAATTTACACCTTCATTGGAAAGCTGATCAAAGCCCCTCTTCCCTTCCCAATCTTGGTTAAATGAGAAGGAATAAGCTGTCTGTTTGTGACTTCGCAAAGAACCAACTTAAAATTCATTTGTATCTGCCAGAGGTTATTGGGAGATCAATAAATGCTAAACGTGTAATTTTACCTTTCAATTGGAATTAAAACCTATTCAGATTTTTGAAGGTAGCTTGGGAGCATGATGTTTGTTCAGGAATCTGTATCTGACATTAACTTTGATGTGGAATGTTTAAATTGTAATTAAAGCAGAGAAAGCAACAGTATACAAAAACACAGGTCTAAGAGCCCACCAGGAGGTTGAGTGTTAACAGCCACATTTTGGAAGTTGTATACGAGTGCACATGGGCAGATGCCACAGACGCCAGAGGAACTTACGTTTCAGTATCCCTTTTATATTGAAAGACACTGTCGGATATATTGAGGCAGCCTGGAGGTGATGGGGACTATACTTAATAACTACTCATACTCCTCTTTTTCTCAGTAAAGGAACTCAAACCAGAGATTCACACTATTGCCGTTTTCAAGGATATATTTTCGACCTAACAATATACAAAGGTCAAAACGAGTCCATTTTTGAGAGGACAGGGTCTAATCCTCCCTTTGAACACAAGAGGTCGCTCCTGTAATCAAGTATTAAGGAAAAATTGCTAATCAGTTTTATGTATTCTCTAGAAAACAAAATTTTACAGATATATTTGATGTACTAAATCCACATACAGCAATCAGCTGAGGAAATGAGAATAGTCCATGATCAATTTAGAACTTCAAGGTGAGGTAAAACTACAAAGCCTGCTATTCTAACTTGGATTTTAATGTAAAATGTATCATGATACATGCACTGAACTTCAGAGCATGTCCATCATGGTGGGGGTCCCTCAAACGTCTCCTTTTAATGCGGGTATCTTCACCATGCGTCTTGCTTCTATCAGTTTAGGAACTTACTAAGAAAATACTTGTTTACAACAATGGTGCAGAATGAAAAGAGGAAAATGTTGTCTTCACCATTAAGGTGAAATTGCCTGTTACTAAAGGTTTCCCCCAAGCCACATGCCAGTTTTTCTACTTGGAATTGCTATCATCTGCAATAATTCTTTGTAATGCAATAGCTTATTGGTTTAGGGAGTTAAAAATACCACACTACGTGTGGGAGGTGGGGGCTGGTTTGAAGGAAGATGGATAGTGAGGGTGCTTTGTGGATCTCAAATGTAAGTCATCAGGCTTCTGGTAGCTTCTGGTGTTTAATTCCAACTTATAAACGTGGCATGATAGAATATGACTGGGTAAAACTCTCCATTTTCTGGCATTGTGGTGGTTATCTTTTTTTACTAGGGTCAACATGTTTATCTATATGGGAAACACGCCCGAATACTGGGAAGATTTGCTTCGTGTTGAGATGATCAGCATCAGCTTTGCAAAAACAGCTTGACAAAAGGCTCCATACATTTAATACCAGAGACTAGAAACAGACACACACACACACACACACACACAAAACTGGTAAACTTATCAGGTCTATTCAACTTTCACTTTCATACACGCGCTACAAAATAACCTATAATAAAAATGGAAGGGAAGAGAGATCCAATTTGAAATCCTCCTTGAGAAAAAGCAAAACAAATCAAAACGAGTTCCTGGGGAAGCAAGCCTCAGTTAGGTCAAGAGGAAACTTTTGCATCTTAAATTCCCTTTCTGCTTTGGAGAGGCATTACCCGTTCAAGCTCAGCCAATGCGACCGGCCAGGACTTACAGCTCTTATCAAGGGTTAGATTTTGCGAAAGATACAAAGAAAGGAGTTTCCTAACACACCGGGTCTTCTCACGGCAACAAGACACCGAAATTAAGCCTACTATGGTTTGTGTCTGTAGGCCTTTTTAGATAAAACTGGCAGTCCCATTAGATAAGAAACGGCTTTTTAGAAGCTTTGGGGGAAGCGCGGGGGTTCTTCGTGGCCTTCCTGTGACTTTGTCTTTGGCAGACTGTAAGAGATGATGGGAACACGTAAGAATGATTGAAAAAGGTTACCGGCGAGTTGCACCCAACAACCTTCTCTCTCCAAGTAGTTTCCTGAGAGAAAATTATTATATATCAATGCCTAGGGACGTGAAATAGATCTTCCACTGTTCTGTAATAAATCCCTCCCTACTCGCGCCCTTATACTAATGCATTGTTTAAAAATCTCCAGTCATGGAGACTTGTCCTTATAATTATCAAAACACCACAGCTAGCTGCACAAGTTTGCTTAAAAACAAAGGGCAGGAGACCAACAGAGAGAGGAATTGGACAGTATATAAAAACCTTACAAACTTTAGACTACTGAAAGATCATTTCGCTCTTTGGCTTAGGGTTAGTGAACTTCCAATTCTAGAGTTTAAACTGAAAAGCAGACCTCGCGGGTCTGAAAGACAAAAAGTCCGCGGAGTCAACTTCATTTTACCCGTGCGTTCCAACCTGATTGTCCGCAACAGCAAGAAGCGCTTTTCCTCCCACCCCACGTTTTTAGATATCTGAGGTCGGGGAAGACGGAGTTACGGTGTAGCAGTCACGAAACAGTTCCTCTGGGTTTAATCATCCTATCTCCAATTCTTCTTCCCCTAGCGCGCCGAGCGCAGCCAGTTCTGGAGGGAACTCCCCCTCCCGAGCAGCCAAGGCGGCCTAGGCCCCGGGGATGTGCGCCACGGCGTGGGACCAAACCAAGATAAGCGCCCTGCTCCAAGTTCCCCCCGTTTCCTAGAGCCCGGGAGGGACCTCGTCAACAGGTAGACCTACCCACCAGCCACTCGCCACGAGCGGCAGAAAGTGAGCCCCGCGCGCAACGCTGCCATTCGGACTGCGGGGACCCCAGGAGCGGAGGGCGGAGGAGTAGCGCGACAGGAGGCGAGGGCGCAGACGGCACGGCCGGGAAGGAACGCGGGAGGGGGCAGAAGGAAGAGGAGGTGAAGGAGAGGGAGGCCAGAGCCAGAACAGCCCGGCAGCCCGAGCATCGGGGGAGAACGGGCTGAGCCCGGAGCAAGTTGCCTCGGGAGCCCTAATCCTCTCCCGCGAGCTCGCCGAGCGGTCAGTGGCGCACAGCGGCTGCGAGACTGAAATATGATAATCAGAACAGCTGCGCCGCGCGCCCTGCAGCCAATGGGCGCGGCGCTCGCCTGACGTCCCCGCGCGCTGCGTCAGACCAATGGCGATGGAGCTGAGTTGGAGCAGAGAAGTTTGAGTAAGAGATAAGGAAGAGAGGTGCCCGAGCCGCGCCGAGTCCGCAGCCGCCGCAGCGCCTCCGCTCCACCAACTCCGCCGGCTTAAATTGGACTCCCAGATCCGCGAGGGCGCTGCGCAGCCGAGCAGCGGCTCTTTCAGCTTTGGCAACCCCAGGGGCCACTATTTCCCACTTAGCCACAGCTCCAGCATCCTCTCTGTGGGCTGTTCACCAACTGTACAACCACCATTTCACTGTGGACATTACTCCCTCTTACAGATATGGGAGACATGGGAGATCCACCAAAAAGTAAGAGGCTATTTTACCTTGTGGGGCTCGGTGTGCTGTTCTTGTGCGGGGTTCTCTCTCAGGCACCGGCTGAGGTGCCAAGGGCTCTTTGGAGTTGGAGTCATTGCCTGGAGAAAGAGAAAAGGTGGCTTTTTCTTGTTGCCGCCGCGCCTGCATGCTTACTGTCGGTTCTTATCTTCGGGAAACTGATCGTACCTTGTGTTTGAATTCGCCTGTGTACCCTCCAAAACCCTAGCTTTTTGGTGCTAAGCGGTGATTTCCTCCTGGGGAATCCTGAGCTCTCCGAGAAGGTTATTATGTTGCAAAGGTTTGCCTGCACAGTCACTACCCAGAGATGTGAATTAGCATTAGACTTGCAAAAGAGTGACAACTGTATTTATGCCTGCTCTTGCTAACAATATCCAGTCCTATGTGCTATTTAAGAGCGTGCTTCATGGAAAATATAGACATCCCTGCATTCACTTAACGCTTCTAGTCAAAACCTTTTCTTTGACTTGACTTATCCATAATCTTTCCCAATGATTATAGCAAAGAGGAAGGAGGGGGATAAAAAGAAATACAAAATGAGCGGGTTTGATTGCGTGCTAGGCGTACAAATGTAGACTATTCCAATCTGCATTTTACATACATTCCACCTCCTTTAAAAATGAGTTAAGGTTTTGATGGCACACTTCAATTACCATCCCAAAGTGCAATACTCTTTAAAAAAAAAAAAAAAAACACAAAAAAACAAAACAAAACAAAAAAAACCTCACAGAGTACGCCCTATAAGAGAACAGAGAACGACACTAAAAGTGTGTTTATCTCTGTAGGAAGTAAACGCTTAGTCAATCATGTATTTATTTTCATTTCAGAAAAACGTCTGATTTCCCTATGTGTTGGTTGCGGCAATCAGATTCACGATCAGTATATTCTGAGGGTTTCTCCGGATTTGGAATGGCATGCGGCATGTTTGAAATGTGCGGAGTGTAATCAGTATTTGGACGAGAGCTGTACATGCTTTGTTAGGGATGGGAAAACCTACTGTAAAAGAGATTATATCAGGTATGGCATTTACAATTCTTCCTTAATTTTGTGAGATTTCCCTTACTCTCCCCACTCTTTATGTATTATTTGGTGTGGCTTTGTCTTTTTGTGAAGTTTGCCTCTGTGGAGTCATGCAAGCCAAAGTTACCCTGTACATGTGTTACAAAAATCAAGCTATGCTGTTCATTTGATTTTTTAGTGGAGAAAAACAAAAACCCTTAACAGTAGTATTCATAATTCTGGGGTATTGAGGCTTGTTTAATTACTCTTGGAATTTATGATGCACAAATTATTTTCGTCTTTCACTCTCCCCCTTACAAAACAAAATTTTTAAAAGATGGAGAAGTTTGGGTCTTTAACTTTAAAATAGGGTCGACTTTTATTGTATAGTGCAGTGTTCTGTTTGTTTTAGTCCTTTTTAAAATTAGTAACTTACAAATTTTTTTGGTGACATCAATGCAATAGGTGAAATAAAAGTTTGACCGAAGCATATTTACAAATGTACTTTGAAAGAGCGAGTACAGGTATTGCTCCTTTTATTTTTTGGGTAAGACTTCCTTCTGAGAAAAATTTAAAACCAACCTAAATATTCCTTGCAGAAAACACCGGAAACTTAATCTTTTTAAATATTAACCCTTTGGTGACATCTAACTGTCTCTTCTTTCTTATCTTATCTGAGCTGATGAATTAGAGCAGATCAAATTGCCCATCATCTGTCTACGAACAATTGGTATATTTAGATAATTGAACAGCTTCCTTTCTCACATTAAAATCTGGTAACTGATAAAATGAGCGAATTGTCCAAATTGACAAGACTGAAACCACATAGGAACTTTCTGAGTTTGGTTTTGTTGTTTTGGAGAGGTTTTTTTTTTTCCTCTCCAATTTATTCTGCATCAGGCTTTGCTAATATCAAGTTTTCTCTGACTTGTGTGTATATATCAGAAACTTTGTTTTCTGCCTTAGAAAGCCAGTAGAGTCTCCAAAGAAAATTATATGTGTTTTATTAACAAACAGAAGAGATATCACCATCATTATTATGTTAAATAGCAAAATATCACTTTTTAAATGTCTGGTGGCTATTAACAAGTAATTAATTAGCTTTTGTAAGGCAAATGGTTTCTGAAGCTTGAGAACTTTTTATTAAAGTTTAATTAAGATTTAATATACAGTCACAGTTTGCTCCTGCTCACTTAGTATCCAGCATTTTTTTCTTCTTTTTTATAAATCATGACACGGAGAGGATAATTTTGGTAGATAAAATTAACCTGGTTGGGGGAGGTTAATACTTTAGAGAGGAAGTGAAAGGAAGTAAGGGAAGTCGGGGTACAGGAAGGGGGAGGGATTTTCTAAATTGTGTGGTCACCGCCAAAGTCAAGTCTTCACCCTATGAAATGGAAGATCTCACATTGAGTAGGCGGAGGGAGGAAAAACTTTTGAATCCACCTTCTAACCTCTGACAAATGAGCGTTTTCATGGTTTACTAGATTGGTGTGTAAACGCAAGATTCTAGAGAAGGAGAGTCCACTTCAGGAGTATCTTTACTCCTGTGGAAATAGTATTTTGCTCAATTGCACACAGGTTTGCATGTGCCTACTTCTGGATATACACATTTGTAGAAGGACCTAATCATTTTTACCTTCTCTCCACTCTCTCTCAACTCTCTCTCTCTCTGTGTGTGTGTGTGTGTGTGTGTATGTGTGTGTAATCTTGTAGTTGTAAAAGCAGAACAGATTGAACAGTTAGATTTCCACATCTCTCCTTGGAGAAGCAGTATGCGTCCTCCTGTTATGTGGATCTTGTCCTCTCTCTTCCATTCTTTCTGTTTGTAGGAATGCCCCAGCTTCTGTTATTCCTGAAAGATGGAGAAGGGGCCAGGGAAGTGCAGCCTAGATGGAACCTGTAAAGATTGTCCCTTGGTAAGGAAAGGCCAGCAGTGAGAAAGACCTGAGAAGTGGGTCTTTGCATTTTTTCAGTCTGGTCATGGTTTTCAAGAAAATTGAAGTAGAGGTAGATGATTCAACAACTTGAAAAAGATTGAGGGAACAGACACAGATTTTTAAAAAAATAATAATACAAGGAAGAATGAAGAGGACATGTTCTGTTAACATTGCTGCCTGAAGAAAGTCTATAGTTGGAGAAAGACTGGAAAGTGCTTGTGCAAAAGGAGATGTGGAAACGCTCAGAGGTTTCATTTTGTTATTCTGCTTGTTTATTTGTGAATGTTTGCAAACCAAGTGGGGTGACAATCCCCTTCTCCTACCTCCTTTTTCTTGGAAGGAGGACTTTGTGTTGCGGTTTTAGACATTTCTAGCAGCAGAATTTGGGGGATAGGGAAGTGAAAGTGTGGCTGTTGGTGGCCACCAGAGTCTTTCTGGCTTCCTTCCTGCCAAGATCTGCAAGATCAACCTGGGACTGATGGCTAGAGCAGCAGCCCAAGTCTGGAATCCAGTACATTTTCTGTGGTACAGGCTAGGTGTTTTGAACTAAGAGTTACCGCCTAAGACAGAGGTTCATCGGAAAGGAAACGGGAGTAAAAGGGAGGAAGGAGGAAGGGGAAAAGAGAGATGGGGGAAAGAAGAGAGACAGGGAGGGAGAGAGCAGGGTTTCATTTCTGTCCTTCTGTTCCCAACTTCTGTTTGGAAATGTTGTTTACTTGGGGCGTCTTGCCCGGGATCTTGGGCCAGGGAAGTGCCCGCCTGAAGTGACCCCCTCTTCCTGTGCTTCTCTCCCCGCTCTGGGCCTCCCCCCACCCCGCCCCGCACAGGTTGTACGGGATCAAATGCGCCAAGTGCAGCATCGGCTTCAGCAAGAACGACTTCGTGATGCGTGCCCGCTCCAAGGTGTATCACATCGAGTGTTTCCGCTGTGTGGCCTGCAGCCGCCAGCTCATCCCTGGGGACGAATTTGCGCTTCGGGAGGACGGTCTCTTCTGCCGAGCAGACCACGATGTGGTGGAGAGAGCCAGTCTGGGCGCTGGCGACCCGCTTAGTCCCCTGCATCCAGCGCGGCCACTGCAAATGGCAGGTACTCCTCTGCCCGGCTCGGGTAGGCAGGCGCCAGGTTAAGCCAGCCTGTGTGCCGGTGGCCAACAACCACCATGGTAGCTACAGGAGTGGTGGTAGTGTTTGCCTGCAGTTAAATGAAGTGTTTTGTATGCAATTTGCTTGCGCTGTGCTCTGCTCCTTTGCAGCAAGGTTCAGTGCGCTGTCTCGCTTGATTCCCCGAGCACACCTACACCGTCTGTGTGTCTATATGGTTACACATAAATGTACACCACTTGTGTACACGTGTATACACACGCCCAAACATTACTTCCAGTTCGCTTTGGTCTCCAAACCTTGGCTTGCTGAAAACGGGCTTCAGCTCTCAGCCAGGTATTCTCCTGCTGCCTAATTAAAGGGGCGGAGCCCCGGGTCCCTGGAGCTTCATCCTTTAACCCAATGAAGGAAGCTTAGGTGGCCTGAAGTCATTTAGTCTCCCAAATCCTTTTTCCTTGTGAGTTGCTTCACGGTCGAAAAATTTTTTAAATTTTTTATCTTTTTGTGAGAGACCAAGACTGAAAAGATACAGTTTTAAAAACTGCAGGCCATTGCACAGAGCTATAATTTAAAACTGTCAACAAGCTAATCTGCAGTAATTGCCTTTTAAAGGGAGCCTGTTTCTTTAAATCATTCATTCTATATGATTTGGTGAGAATTTCATCTTCAGGCCCATGGTTGTAGCTCTAAATTGACCCCATAGGTGTTGGCCTGACACTAGGGGGTTGTAGAAGGTGCAGGATGTGTATCATATAGATAAGAGGACTCATTCCCAAGGAAGAGGAGTGGAAACCCGGTAAGGTTGGTCAGGACCAAAGTCGTGGGTAAGAAGGTGGACAGTGTTTCCAAACCTGACTTTCTGTCATGAGTAGATCGACTCCTTTGCAGTTTTAAAGTTTAAATTCCCACTAAACACTGAAGGTGAGGAAACTATAGCGCTCCCTTGCCCTTCTGCCTTCTGGCAGCTCTAAGAATTCTGTTCAGGGGAATTTGTGACTAGTGTGCACCGGGGCAAGGCCAGGGGTGGTGCTCCTGTTCAGTGGAGCCTGCACTCTGCTTGCCGGGAAACGCAGAGGAAGCTAAAATACCGGGAGGGAGGCGGGGGACATATCCCAGCCACCGTTTATCTAGAGCCTAGGCAGCTCAACAGAGTTTCCGTTTTCTACTGCTTGGGGTCTGCCCATCTCAGGAACATCCATGTATTACTTTAGATTTAATACGAAGGAAGAGCAAGGATTGGGGATACGGCAGAAATAGCGAAAGTCTTCAGCCCCTTGACATGATTGTCCTCTCGGACTGAAGTTCAAGGCCTTCTGGCAGAGTTCTCAGCCTTCCCCTTGCAGAAATCCCTGCTTGTGTAGTATTTATGGCTGTCACTGAAGTGCTCTGCGTTCTTCCTTGTACCCTCTGTGGCCTTGGCCCAAGAGAAAATTCTGAGCCTGGAGAGGGTGGTAATCAATGTAACTGGGACCCAGTCTGGGCACAAGGAAACGTGAGAAAGGAGGAGAAACAGTGCTGAAAAATGCCATGCCTGCTGCGAACAGGGGGACAGATTTTAAACCTGCTTCCCTTGGCTAACACTTTGTTGACACGAGGAGGGGCGGGTGCTGCATTCCGGCCCGGGATTACTCAGCATTGACCTCTGCAGATTAGAGAGGAAGATTTTATTCTCCCTTTCACCCTCTTCGCTCCACCTCTGCCGCCCCCTGCTTTGTGTGCTGAGGCTGCAAACACTAGCCATTGTCCTGGAGTGTCTCAGGCGGGCGAGCAAGCGAGCGGGCGGGCGGGCAGGCGAGCGAGCTAGCGCGGGCGGGCGAGCGAGCGAGGGCGGGCGGGCGAGCGAGCTGCCAGCCCAGCGCTCATGGCGCTCCTTGCCCCGCAGCGGAGCCCATCTCCGCCAGGCAGCCGGCCTTGCGGCCCCATGTCCACAAGCAGCCGGAGAAGACCACCCGCGTGCGGACTGTGCTGAACGAGAAGCAGCTGCACACCTTGCGGACCTGCTATGCGGCAAACCCGCGGCCAGATGCGCTCATGAAGGAGCAACTGGTAGAGATGACGGGCCTCAGTCCCCGTGTGATCCGGGTCTGGTTTCAAAACAAGCGGTGCAAGGACAAGAAGCGAAGCATCATGATGAAGCAACTCCAGCAGCAGCAGCCCAATGACAAAACTGTGAGTGGCTCTGGGGCCAGGTAGGGAATGCGAGGGGGAAGTAGATGCGGCGTGCGAGGTGCGTTCCTGGTGCCCAGTCTGGCCGGCGCGCGGTTTTCTATCCTGCTCCTGGGCAGGAGTTTGGCCGGGGCTGTCCCTCATCCCCACCCCCACCCATGCTTGGGGGAGAGGTTACCCGGCTCCGGCCGCCAGCCGAGTGGGGGAAGCTTGGGGGCTTCGTACGCCAGGGGAGCGGCAGCCAGGTCCCAACCTTGTGGGCGGGCTCATGCCCTTCCTCCTCGCCTGTACCTGCGAACCCGAGAAACGCCGTCCTCCCCTCCGAGGGCAGGCGGCAACGAGATTTGGCCCGGGTTTTGCCAACATTCAGATCGTCAGTTCCTCACATACAGTAGAAGAGGGAGGGATACTAACACCTTGGGTTCCTACCTACATCCAGGGGTTCCGTGGGCAGGTCGCCCTGTGAGCCCCCAGGGCGCACTGTACTTTTGAGTAAGGTACAGTGCGCCTTCAGGCTGAGGAGTTCCCCCAAGGTGACCCGCATGCCCAGAGCACCCTCTGCTCCAGGTGAAACCCAGGCCTCCACAGAGACTCGCACCAGTATCCACTGTTATCTTGGGCCCACGGAAGCACCCACTCTGCAGGCCTCCTGGTGAAGTTAAGCTAGAGTTTCTTTTCTTTCTTTCTTTTTTTTTCTTTTACTGCTTTGGCCCTATTTTTAAATGCCATAAAACCTGCTGTCATTAAACTCGGCAGGTTGGCCAAGACTGGGCCAGGGCACTTTCTGAGTTGGTTAGTGTATAATAGCACAATAGGAACCAGACTCAAATGCTTTGGGGGCGATGGAGTCGGGGGCTGGCTCTTCCTTGAGGAGAACTACTTGGAAAAAATCTGCAGCTTACTGAAACTGCCCAGAAAACCACCCTGTCTAGGGCAAAAGGGAGACCCTGCTTACCTCAGCTTTCTAGTTCTGGGAAGCTATGGCCTGAGAAGGCAGAGGGGAGGAATTGGGCTGAGCTGTGAAGGTAAGGGGGAAGAAGAAAGTTAAAGTAGAATTTGGTTTAATAAGGTCCATGCAGACCTAATCGTCCAGCCCACAGAGGCAGAAACACAAAACACAATAAAGCAAAACTGAACTCTAGCTAATATCCATAGGTACAGCAGATTAACTGAGTCAATAAAGGCCACTATATAGATAAGATAATACCAGGGTATATTTGCTTAGCCTGTGCAGACAACGGAGGGAGGGAATTTGCTCATTAACATGTTGGGATTGGTGGGGGGGGGGGACCTATTCACAGAATATCCAGGGGATGACAGGAACTCCCATGGTGGCTGCCAGTCCAGAGAGACACGACGGTGGCTTACAGGCTAACCCAGTGGAGGTACAAAGTTACCAGCCACCTTGGAAAGTACTGAGCGACTTCGCCTTGCAGAGTGACATAGATCAGCCTGCTTTTCAGCAACTGGTAAGTGTCAGCTCCCAGATGGAAGAGGCTGAATTCCCAACAGGGGACTCTGGTTTAACTGTCACACACTGAAAGATTCAGTGGGGAGGGTGCCTTCTTGGGCTCAGGGTTGGGGAGAAACCAAGGAGATGGGTAATGAAGAGAAGGGAGACAAATGCAAGGAAAACGAACCTCTTATGCATCTTTTTTTTTTAATGAGACTGCATAATTTGACCATATAGGTTGAATTTGCTCTCAATCAGGACTTCTTTGAAGGATTAATTTCAAGGTACCTAACTCTAGGTAGCATGTGCCAGAAGATGTACAGTGTTGGAGAATCATACATCTTAGAATTTTAGAGTTGTCCAGGACTTCAGGAAATCGTCTTGGCATTTCAATCAGCAATTAGTAAGTTTATCCTTCCTGAGCATCTAGAGAATGGGATCTATAAGGACCCAAATCAAGGTGATTGTAGTTCATAATCAATGCTATAATACATAATCAGTGTCGTTATCAATAAACACCAGCCACATGTCTGGGTGCAGTTTTCAAATATATCAATAAAGATTATTCAAATAGATCAATACTTTTTGTTACGGTATCCGTTGCTGGGAATGTCTTAATCTAAAATGTAGAATCGTTTAAACGTTTTCAAGTGTATGAGTTCAAATGTCATAGAGACACACACCTTGTACCATGTATAGCAAAAGGGACATGAGCTCTACCAATCAGAAGTAAAGTGTTTAATCTGTGAAAGCCTTAACATGTTTTCCACATCCAGTGAAGAGAAAATTAATTCACTTTTTGCCTACAAAAGGCGTAAGGGGTCAAGATGAATAAGAACAATAAATATATATCCTTCATAATATGCTGTATTTATATATATATGATTTTTTTTTTCTTGAAGAGTAATCAGCCTTATAGAATCTTGTTTCATAAAATGTAAAGATGTATCACAAAACCTTGTTCCCTTTTTTGGAAATGAACCTTTAGTTGAGGTTAGCTTTTTACCCTCATATTTACCTGAAGGGTATTTGCTTTCTCAATGTCAACAGTTAGGTAATTGGCCAGAGGCAAGTGGTTAAAAGGGCTTGGCCCCAGGCTGGTGTTTGCAAATGCTAAGTGGGTACAGAGGCTAGAAGTCCCTTAATCTCATATTGGAAAAATTTACTATAGAAAGAAATGTAGGCTCTGGAACTAGGAAAAAAAAATATTTTAAGGCCATTAATCTGTTGAGTTATTTGAACGAAACCTGAATCACAGAAAGAAGCTAAGCGGAGGGTTGAGGGCAGCCAAATGTTTGCACTTTCTGAAACTTTAGTGTCAGATGAGAGCTGTGGAAGGGAAGCTGAGGCAGGGGTGTGCATGGTTAGAGAAGGTTTACAACAGCAGTACAATGTGTGTATGATTAAAGAAGGAGTCAGATATTTAAGAAGGAGTCAGATATTAGGGTTAAAAGAAGGAATCAGAATGGGATGATGTCATAATATATGGGTCTCATTTTGGAAGGAAGAGCCTGATGTAAAGAGAGAGAGAGAGAGAAAGGCCAAAAGGCAGGAGGACCAACAAGGAAGAATGCCCAAGCTATGAGCCTGCTGAGGAGTTAATCTTTGTTCTGTGGAGCCTTCTCTCAATCTCCTGTCAAAGGATCTGAGCCTGTTAACGGATTTTTCAACTGAAGAAGAGAGTCTTTGATGCCTAGAGACTGAGAGCTCACCTACTCCTAGGGCAACATGTAGCCAGCAGGATAATTTTATCTTGAGCATGCATAGTAGAGTTGTGATGCCATTTTACAGTGGGAAACACATTTGTTCTTAAATAATTTAATGTAACATAATGTTGGAATTTCAGTTTCAGTTAAAACAGAGATCTTTTGGAAGATGGGAAAGCGAGAGGATTTCTTCTCAAGTTTTTCTCCTCTAGGCTTTCTCTAAGCTTATTAAAATTCAGTTATCTATGTAGGTATCTTTACATATCTATCTACACAAACATTTCTACATACACAATATGATGAGTTTATAATCTTTTTATGAATACTATTCCAGCGTCCTTTATTTATTTCTCAACCTTCTATGCAGGTCAATTTTTCAGAAGGAGGACCGGGCTCCAATTCCACTGGCAGTGAAGTAGCATCAATGTCCTCTCAACTTCCAGATACACCTAACAGCATGGTAGCCAGTCCTATTGAGGCATGAGGAACATTCATTCTGTATTTTTTTTCCCTGTTGGAGAAAGTGGGAAATTATAATGTTGAACTCTGAAATGAAAGTATTTAACAACCCAGTCAATGAAAACTGAATCAAGAAATGAATGCTCCATGAAATGCACGAAGTCTGTTTTAATGACAAGGTGATATGGTAGCAACACTGTGAAGACAATCATGGGATTTTACTAGAATTGAACAACAAACAAAATGCAAAACCCAGTATATGCTATTCAATGATCTTAGAAGTACTGAGAAAAATAAAAAGACGTTTTTAAAACGTAAAGGATTTATATTCAAGGATCTCAAAAAAAGCATTTTCATTTCACTGCACATCTAGAGAAAAACAAAAATAGAAAATTTTCTAGTCCATCCTAATCTGAATGGTGCTGTCATTGCCTTGCCAAACAGGAGCTCCAGCAAAAGCGCAGGAAGAGAGACTGGCCTCCTTGGCTGAAAGAGTCCTTTCAGAAAGGTGGAGCTGCATTGGTCTGCGATGTTTTAAGTTGACTTTAACAAGGGGTTAGTTGAAATCCTGGGTCTCTTGGCCTATCCTGTAGCTGGTTTATTTTTTACTTTGCCCCCTCCCCCCTTTTTTTGAGATCCATCCTTTATCAAGAAGTCTGAAGCGACTTTAAAGGTTTTTGAATTCAGATTTAAAAACCAACTTATAAAGCATTGCAACAAGGTTACCTCTATTTTGCCACAAGCGTCTCGGGATTGTGTTTGACTTGTGTCTGTCTAAGAACTTTTCCCCCAAAGATGTGTATAGTTATTGGTTTAAACGACTGTTTTTTCTCTCTATGGAAATAAAAAGGAAAAAAAGGAAAATTTTTTTGTTTGCTCTTGCATTGCAAAAATTATAAAGTAATTTATTATTTATTGTCTGAAGACTTGCCACTTTTCATGTCATTTGACATTTTTTGTTTGCTGACGTTAAAAAAAAAGATAAAGGTTGTATGGTGGTCTTTGAATTATATGTCTAATTCTGTGTGTTTTGTCTTTTTCTTAAATATTATGTGAAATCAAAGCGCCATATGTAGAATTATATCTTCAGGACTATTTCACTAATAAACATTTGGCATAGATAAATAAATAAACACAGTGATCCAGGGTCCCTCTTTTATGTTTACAAACAAGCTATTCAAATGTCTGAAAGTAAGGATTGCATGTGAATTGGAGTAAACTGACACACAATAGGAGTGATGTTGTATTGCAAGTAGTTAAGGTTGAGTTTGCAAGTTTGGGTTTCAATAGTTGGATCAAAGTTGGTTGGAAACCCTTTAGCTCTCAGCTATGATAATGCTACTGGTTTTGTGAAAATGAGATGCTGTTCTCTGTCCTGACCCCTCTTTCCTTCCCCCAATCTCTTCCTTGCCGTACCCCACCCATCCTCCTACCCCAAATAGGAAAATGGTCTTCTTTAAAATGGCTTTTGATTCAGAGTCACTATTTTATTTTTTTAGAATAAGTGATTTATACCAAAGGCTCCTGCTTGGGATTGTTGGAATGACCTGTATGTCAAATATATAAGCTCTTGGTAAAAGAGAGGCTTTCTGCCTAGCCAGTGAGGTATGACCATTATTTACCAGTGGCGGCTGTCAGCCGATTGAGAAATGCTGCTGTATTTGTGCAGAAGGAACAGGCCCAGAGAAGAGAGTATGCTCTGCAATTCCCAGAGCAGTCAGTGTATGCATTTTCTTGCCTCTTCTCCCCTCTCCCACCTCCGATTTGTCCCTTCCCCAAGTCCAATTTCAAAAATCTTGGGAAAGATGACTGGCTATGGGGAGAAACACGGCATATATTCTGTTGGGAAACCACCTTTTATGGGGTGGGGTAGCAGGTCGTGTGCTTTGCTGAACCCATCAGCTATCAGAGTCACGGGCATGCTCTCTGGGATAGACTATTCCCCGCCACTCCCCCCCGCCCCCAGCAATAGTTCAAGTGCTAGAGCCAGAACCCTGGAAAAGATAAATGGCACTGCCTGAAATTGGGTTTCTTGGTGCTTCTTCGTTTGCTGGCGTCGGATTAGGATTTGGGTCTCCACCCTGTTCCCTCACCTCCCTTTACCCCCATCCCAGGATGATGCTTTGACTCTGGAAACTGCATTCATTTGTATGCGCGAGTGTAATGCCGTTTTCAGTACCTGACAATTCTTAATAAATGTGAAAGCTAAAGTACCCTAATCGTGTGTCGTGTGGCATACCCCTCCGGGCTCAATAGGGTGAGGTGGAGGCTATGCCCCCCAGCTCTCAAGTTGCTTTCACCCTCTCCAAACCTGCCGCAAGTCTGGAAGCCAGCCTCAATTAGGCTTTTGTTTGGGTTGGTTCTACATAACGGGTTAATTACAGGCTCTAACGTGGGGGCAGAGAGAAAACAAACTTTGCATTGAAAATGTTACAGTGCATTAGACATGCCCGTTGATTACTTTGATTGTTGTGTCTAATTCTTGACAGAGGGGTAATAATTTGGCCGGTGGTAATAATGGCTTGCAGTCTTCTGCTGAGAAAAACAAGAGTTGTGTCTTATCTCACATGGATCTTCTCCGGGAAAGGTTTTTTGTTTGTTTGTTTGTTGTTGTTGTTGTTTTTAACTCAGATCTCCCTCCTCTAATCTCTTGCCAAGGGACTTTACTGTTTTAGCTTCCCATTCACTATTTCTATTGTTCTCTTTTTTCCTTTTTCCTCACCATCATAGCTGAAATGGCAACTAATATGCATGTGTAGGGATGGCAGGTTCAATGTGAATATTGGTGTCATGCCTGCAAAGTTACTGAGAGTCCAAGCCTTCCTTACTTGGAAAACACCGGACCCGCTTCCCCAGCCATAGCCTCTGGTGGACTCAAAAATGTTAGGGACTAGAGATGGAAAACACTTTCTTTAGGGTTTGAATGCAATAGAGGTACTTAAGGGAGGCACCCATCTTTGTGAAGCTTTTTCCTTCTCGAATTGATTTCTAAGATTAAGAATATGTTTGCATGTTTTGGTGGGGAGCGGTGATGTTTTACATATATAGATGACAGTCTATTCTGAAGTCCATCGCTTGAATTTAACCACAATAATTTAGGAAGGGGGTGATGAATGATTTGGTTTCACTTGCTAGATTCAAGATATTTGTTGCCTGGTGGCTGAGAATGGACTAATGAGTCAATAGCATTCTAGTTCTTTCATTTTTTTATATGAAGGTGTGTCTTCCCCTTTTAGACTCCTCAGCCTGCACTCTAAAATGTGTAGCAGAAATGTCATTTTGTTCGCAAATCATCTCTTGCATACTCTCCTCTTCTCTGCACACCTCTGAAGACTGAGTTTTGAGCTCTGCTCTTGTAATGAAATTCCTCTTGTTCGTTATTATCTCTGATCGTCCCTCCCTTATTACTCTGAATTCTTCCTTCTGGACATTATGATTCATTTCCTCCAGCTTCTGCAAGCTAAAATTTAATGCAGCTAAAAACATCTAGTATGCTCCCCTTAAATCAGAAAATTAATATCAGTATACATAGTCTTAAAGACAGGATATTGTTTCCCCTATAGTTTCAGCACAATACTGTCTTCCATTTCAGCCTATTTTCCCTCTATCCCATTCATGAAATGAACTTGGGTTTTCTTACAAATCAAAAAAGTTCTTTTCTAAGTTAGAATCACATTTAAAGATTTTTTTCTGCTTTGAAACAAGGTTTCTGGTTACTCGTAATTCTGTGTGGGTATATGTACCCACTTGCCCATTGACAACTTTCTTGGAGTTCAAGATTAAATAGATGACTTTGTGATGCTTGGCTGCTATTCACCCTGATCAACTTAAACTCATAATGTTGACCTCTCTTCTGGTGTATCTTATCCTTTTGAAACTAGCTAAAAAGACAGTGTGCTTTCAGGTTACCTTGGAAGTGCTTTGTATTTCCCTAACACCTTGAATTTTAAGTCATAAGATCGATCTCATGAAATGTAACTGTTGTAAATCCCATGTGGCTTTACTTAGCCTTTTCTTTTTTCTAAAAAAAAGAAAAAAAGAAAAAAGTTTAAAGAGCTATGTTTGGATGGCACCCAGCCACTTTGGGTTTGTAATCTCATTCCTAAAACAAGTGAACTGTCTAAGCAGAAAGTACTTATTTTCTTATTGGTAAAGTTCAGTTTAGTCAACTTTTGTAAGTGAGATTCATCATCCAAACGATGCCTGAGTTCTATTTCTCTAGGAATATTTACTTCCTTTTCACTAATCAACAACTAAAGATTTACGTGGCAACAGGGCAAATTGTTTTTCTTGGGGGAGCACAAGAAGAAAAAGGAGGGAGCAATTTTTGTGTATTTATTTTAAAAGTGTTCTCTTAAAAAACGGCCCCACATCTTGAATTCTCAATAACTATTTAAAATGAAAAGTAACTTGTACAGTATGAGTTGGTGTTTTTAAACTAAAATGCAAGTAGTTAATTCAAGGCTCTGGCAGCCGATTTTGTTTACTGATCTTTTCTGATTGTTGTTTTCTTGATAATGGAGCAAGCCACTGAATGGCTGTTTGAGCCCAGGCGCCACAAACATAAACTTCACAGCTTACAATGTCCCAAGCCATGATGGAGGATCTCTCCACACCTCCCGGAGACTTCTGAAGTGTAGACAGAGAAGTTGGTTCACAGGGAGCGAAGGAGGGGGAGGGGCGGCAGGGAAGGCTGCTGAGTGTTTGCTGTGAGCATTGTTACTATCACATCCTTTAATTTTTATGGTACTTAAGCTGTTGGCTCCAAGAAGCCAGTTTCTGTGTCTCAAGGAAGCCAGTCTCTTTCCGGAACTGCACTTAGGACTCCTTGATTCTAATTTCTAAAAATTTATTTTGCAAATCTTTCTGCTTAATTATCTGTCTGCAAGAGCGCTCAGCATTGATAAGCAAAAGGTTCTAAAAAGAAAATTATACATATGTGTGTGTGTGCATACCTACATATATACATACATATATACACATACTTATATTTTTCTTTATGTCATTTATATGTGTATGTAAACACACACACACAGCCCCCCAAAGAGACCACCTGGATTTGGAAGAAAGATGTGGGGTAAGATTGCTTTTCGCCAGGTGGGGAAGAAAGACACATTGACCCTCCCTTTCCGAAGCCATGTCAGATTCTGCTTAGCCTTAGAGCTGCTTATTCCTTGCCTGGGATCCTCTTTCCATTCCATTGATTAAAAGTTAGTGTTCATTTTGAAGTGATGTTATTTGTGGATTTGACCGAATTAGCTATTTAATTTTGCGGGTTGTCCGAGTGCTTCTACTCCCAGGTGCATTGCCCGAGTCCAGCAGGCAGGGCAGCGCCTGTCCGCACTCATGTTAGGGGTGGGAAGTGCTGGGAATCGGGGACCCGGACACTAGTCTAACCAGCCCCGCCGCTTCCGCGGGCAAGTCAGCCCTTGATCCCTTAAAGCAGGGACAATCGACGTGGTCCGAGAGAGAAAAATAAGGGTATTTCTGGGCCCTTCTCTTTCAGAAGTTGATCAGATTCGCAGATCTGGAGGGCTAATCCAAACAAGGTGCTTGACTTGTGAGGTCGCGAGTCTAGACAGAGCTGGTGGCTCGGCGGCTCCTTATCTTTCCCTGGAATCAGCCGAAGAGGCGCTCCCTGGCCCACTCTGCTCGGCTCGCCCGGGTCCTGAGCCACCGCTCGACGCAGACTGCACAACAAACACAGCACCTGAGACTTTACAGCTCACTTTATTGTTTAATAGAGAATGCTGCATAACATTCGTCTTCTTGGTTCCGCGACCTGGCCGCTTTGCAGCCACAGACCCTGGGTGTGAGCCTGCGCCAGCGCCGGTCTGTTTTGGTCCCCACGTTGAGCGGCGCGTTCCACTCCAGCACCGCGCGTGTAAGCGCGCACAACTCTGTCCCTGCACCCTCAGGCCCCTGGAGAGGTACCCAACTGCAGTCCCTTTCTTGCTTCCAAAGCCCGAGGCAGAAGGGTGGAGGGACAGTGGAAGAAAGCTTAGGCGAGGTGTCTTTGACTAATCCAGTATCTCCTCTTGCGCCTGGAAATGACAGTTTTGCGCCAAAGCCATTTATGGTTCGCAGGGTCAGTGGGCTCTGACTCAAGGGCAGTCAATAAAAACATTTAGTT